ATATTATATTTGATATTTGAAACACAAGATCATAAGTGCCGAAGACTATAATAATGTGTTATTTCAGAGTAACATACTTAGAAAAGAAGGGGTAGAGATAGGACGTTTGATAGGACAGAAGGACCAAACCCTATTAGAGTGCCCACCCATCACTCCCACACACTTATGTAAATACAGACGATGAAAGAAAATATAACAGATGTATTATAAAATGGAGACTTTGCCAGGCTATAAAGTAAAAAGGTGGTCTGGAACATTCATAGAATGGATGTTTTCAAATCCCTTTAGCTGCGAGCATTTCGCTCTTGGCAGCGCAATGCCTCTCTCAAGTAATCACAGTTCCTTGTCATCTGGTCAACGCCAGAGCATAGAATGGATAGATCTACAAATTAAAATCTAATAGTCCATCTTGAATCTTTTAACACTAGAGCGAAAAATTCAATCCACATTGTCTAGGGATTGCAGAATAGAATGGTAAGATTAAGTAATAAGAAATCTGATAAGGTACGAATGAGATTAGGAAATAAAAATTAAATTGAATTATGTAGTCTTTATGGTCCCAGTGTGGAAATTTGGGTTACAATGGCAAACATGCACACATATTAAATAATCATACACACAAATAATTGTGAAGCAGTGTGGAGAAATCAGGTGGTGGTGAAAATACTGAAAGTAAAAGTGAAGAAACTGGGATTTTCCCGAGCGTTTGTGAATTTTTATAGAATTTTTGTTTTTTGGTTCCAAACCTTTCATGCCCATTTACGAACATAATTTCTATGTGGATTTTACTGAAGAAGTCGATTAAAGGAATAAAAGATGTAAATTGTCAGTTTCCGCCAACTCTCAAGCTAAGAAAATAACTGAACTTTGGCAGCCGTTTTCTCGCTAATTTTACCTGTGAAACCAGGTGGCCCACATGTCCTTCAATCGCCAATATCTCGTTTTATACAACAGATAAAGTGACACTTTTTCCTTCAAAAGCATGGCAAATGGATAGACCTTAACATGATACCAATAACTCCGTATGCCCCAAAATTGACGAGCACCTGATTCCACCGCGTCATGACACATATACATGTTCCTGCAATGAGTACCACATACACAATATTACACCAATGAAGGGCGATTTTACAAACATGCTATCGCTGGTCGTCATTGTGCAGTGCCCTGGGCTTGTGTGTGTGTGTGTGTGTGTGTGTGTGTGTT